GGGGGGGGGTTAGATGGCCGTACGTGCGGGGGGTGTTTAGACGGCTGTGCGTGCGGGGGGGGGTTAGATGGCCGTACGTGCGGGGGGTGTTTAGACGGCCGTGCGTGCGGGGGTGTTAGACGGCCGTGCGTGCGCGCTGTGCCGTCCTCCCCACACACAGGCTGTGAGCCAGTTTGAAAGCGATGGTCGCCCATCCACACAGGCGTTTCTGTCAGAGTCGTCACCGTGACCCTAATGGACTCTTCGGCCTCCGTTTTTACCACAGGGCCGAGTGGTTTAGTGGGGGTGGGGGCGCTGTCCCCGCAGCCAGAAGGGCGTTAGGCGCCGTCGTGCCCACGGGGCGGCCCCTCACGACTAAGGTCTGGCGAGGTGGGCGTCGGAGGACGCAGGTGGGTCCCGCCCTCTCTGTCCCCCTGTGGGGACCAGCACTCACCCAGGGGTGGCCACATCCGCCCCGTTTTCTCTCCCTTCTCTGCTCCCCGCCGGCGCCAGGGTCCGCTGAGGTGGGGGGCGGGCGGAGCAGCCCTCGACCCGTCTGGCAGGAGGCCCGCGGTTGAGGAAGGTGGTTGAACTCAGTGGGCTTCTTACTCCCCCTCCCCCCCCCCCCGAGAACCGGGGCAAATTGGTTTCCGAAACTGCGCGTTTTCCCCTCAGACCCCACGGGGACCAGGCCACTGGTCGCTCTTCTCGGGCAACCTGTTCCTCCGGCGGCTCTGCACACCGGTCGGGAGATCCCGCGGGGCCTCCCCTCGCAGTGGGGCGTTCGATGAGGTCCGCAGAGGGTCCGGCGTCCAGAGGAGAGGCGGCGGGGCCCGAGCAGCGGAAGTGGCGCTGGTGGCCGTCAGAGCGGTCCCTGCAAACGGAAACACCGTGCACGGCCCTGCGTTGCGTCCCGTGGGACCCCGCGAGGGGAGCGGCTCGGGGCAGCCCGTGTGCGGGCCCGGGAGCCAACGGGGGGCCGGTTCGGGGCAGACGAGGGCGGGACACTGGCCCCGGGGTGCATTGTCCGAGGTGGGGGCGGGGGGGCTGGTCCTGTCGCCGCAGGAACAGCGCAGCGGCCGCCTGAACAGCAGACACTTCCTGCTCCGGCCTCTGGAGGCTGGGCGTCGGGGAGGCCCGGGTGCTGAGACGCCGCTGCTCTGTCCTCACGTGCGGACGGAACAGAGGAGAGGCGTGGGGACAGAGCCGATCCCCTGATGTTGCAGCAGGAGCGGCGGGGAGGCGGCGCGGGCCGGCATGTGGTCACCGAGGACGTTCGTGTTAGGGCTGCGTCTTCCTTCTCTTCCAGGGGAGGCGACCTCTCCAGGCAGGGGAGGCGATCTCCCCGGCACAGCGGGACGGCCGCGGCCCCAGGACGGAAGGGGGGGCGGGGGAGGCGACCTCCTGGGCACAGCGGGACGGCCGGGGCCCCAGGACAGATGGGGGGGCGGGGGGGGCGACCTCCCAGGCACAGAGGACGGACGGGGCCCCAGGACGGATGGGGGGGCGGGGGGGCGACCTCCCGGGCACAGAGGGAAGGCCAGGGCCCCAGGACGGGGGGGGGTGTGTGTGGGAGGGCAGGGCGCGACCTCCCGACCTCCTGGGCACAGCGGGACGGCCAGGGCCCAAGGCCAGCTTTTGATAACACTGTGGAAGCAGCAGAGTCCACGCGACCCTAGCAGCACCTTGAAGCCGGGCTCGGGGACGGAGTGCCCGGGGGAGTCCACAGGGAGCCTGTCCCCGGAGCCACCCCGGGCCTGAGGAGGCCATGTCCCCCTGGCTGTGGGGCCGGTGGAAGCCCCGGCGCATCAGCCAAGGTGCTGGAGGCGCCTCACTGAGAGACGCGTCGGGGCTGCGTGTAGCCCCGGCCTCGGCACCCCCGGCCCTACAGCCGACTCCCGGCCCGGCCCGGCCGAGGCCCGCGGGACGCGCGCGCGGCGATCCCGTAGAGGTGCCGAGCCTCCGGCGGGGCGGGGGCGAGTCGGCCGTGGCCTGGCGGTAGGCGGCGTGCGATCTGCCACGTAGGCCTCGCTCTTGGCGAGGGTTTGAACTCCCTGTCAATTCAGTAAATGTCCGTTCTTTGATTTGGTTCCGTATCACCAGAAAAGTTAAAACCTTCCTGTTGTAAAACACTTAAATGTGGTGGCCGTAGTCCTTCCATGGACTCCGGCCGATTCCTCTGGTGCGGAGGCCACGGCATGAGGGCAGCCGGCTCGTGCCTGCCCCACCCTCACCCCTGCCACCGGTTGTCCTTGGTGCGAGCCCGCCGGGCCTGCGGCTGGGACTGGCGGAGTGAGGACTCCGTGCCCTGAGGACACTGTCCACCTTGAACAGCTAACCAGGGTATCAGGAGATGAATGGCCAGTAAGATGAGTCAACAGGCTTCTATTTTTTTGCAGAAGTTTACACCCTTAGTATTTTTTAAAGATATAAGTCATTTGAGGGTGTTATGCTGAGTGAAATAAGTCAGGCAGAGAAGGACAGATACCATATGTTTGCACGTATAGGAGGATTAGGGGGAGAAGAAGGGGAAAAATGGTGGGGGAGGGAGGGAGGCAAACCATGAGAGACTCTTGAATTCGAGAGCAAACTGAGGGCAGATGGAGGGGAGGGGGGATGGGCATGGGGGAGGGCACTTGTGGGGATGAGCACTGGGTGTTATACGGAAACCAACTTGACAATAAACTATTAAAAAATATATATATATCAGTCACATAGCACAATATCCACTATTTATATCTTTATTTGCGAGAGCACAAGCAGTGGAGGGGAAGAGAGAGAGGGACAGAGGATCTGAAGTGGCTTCTGAGCTGTCAGCACAGACCCCTACGTGGGGCCTGAACTCGGACACATGAGATCATGACCTGAGCTGAAGTCAGACGCTTAACCAGCCGAGCCCCGAGATCCACTATTGAAAATGATTGCCTACTCGAGTGGTTTGTGATGTTTTCACGGTGCCGTGCAGCCCTCAGTGTCCAGTCCCAGAGCGCTTCCGTCACAGCAGTGAGGCCGCAGTCCCCGGCCCGGCCCACGGGCCCCCCTCCCGTGTCTGGGCCCTGCAGCTCCACCCGCCCCATGAGGATGAATCCGCACACGGTGTGGCCTCTGCGTCCGCGTGCCTCACCTCATGTCCTGTCCTCCAGGCTCGCGCAGGCTGTAACAGGTGTCAGCCCTCCCGTCTGTGCTGTTCTGAGGTCCCACACTGTGACCCTCGCCCCGTCAGCAGCGGGGGGCAGGGGGCTCCACCTCAGAGCCGCTGTGAACAATGCTGACAGGAGCCTTCAGCACAGCGCTCGTTCTCGGGGCTTCAGCTGCACGGGGATGCTGTGTCCTGTGGTCACACCGTGTGAAACCCTGGGGTACCTTCTCGGAAGATGCCCCACATTATGCCCCACCAGCCCTGCATAAGGGAGGCCAGTGTAACGTCCTAGGTGAGAGTTCATTTTGTAGCCTAGAAATTTCTATAAATATTTTCTGCGAATTCTTTTTGTTGTATATTTTCTTTTCTTAATTTTTTTAAGTGTTTGTTTATTTTTGAGAGAGAAACAGAGTGCAAGCAGGGGAGGGACAGAGAGAGAGAGAGAGGGAGACATAGAATCCGAAGCAGGCTCCAGGCTCTGAGCTGTCAGCACAGAGCCCAATGTGGGGCTTGAATGAACTGTGAGATCATGACCTGAGCCAAAGTCAGATGCTCAACCGACTGAGCCCTCAGGTGCCCTTGTTGTATATTTTCTAATGTTGAATTGTGACACCAAGTTTATTTTTATCATTAGTATTTACTGACAGCAACTGGTCTTTTTTTAAACAATGGGTTTCACTGGTGATAAACAAATGTATCACAGCTGTTCGGGTTTCCGTTTTGGGGTATATATGATGAAAACATACCCATTTCTCAGAAGTCAGAAACCTACAGCCGACAAATGACTGTCAGGTTAACTCACTTGTGTGTGTTCACCCGGCATTTCTCCCTCGGAACCATCAGCCACATGTCCCCTCTGGCCACAGCGCTGTCCTGGGGAGGTTGGAGGGTCAGGAAGTTGGGGAGGCGTGGAGTCACTGTGAGGCAACCCAGAGCCGGTGGGGAGACGCCAGGAGGCCTGGGTGCCGGCCCCAGGGCAGCCCTGTTCGGGCAGGGACTGGTTCAAACAAGGGAGGGTGCACGGGAGCACCGTCTTTGGGGCCAAGGAGGACAGGGCGCCTTCCCCCGAGTCCTGGGGCACGCACATCGCACACCGGAACGTGGTGTCAGTGGGAATGCCCCATGCTCACAGAGTCCATACAGATGGGGGAGGGCACGGGAGGGGTGTGTCAGCCAGTGACCCAGGAGTCCCAGGGCGACAGGCAGGGGTCGGGATAGATGCAGAGTCCCAAGTGGCCCAGCACACACGTTCCCGTCTGCAGTGAGCAAGGCTGGTGGCTTTGGAATGACTGCATATGTGATGTCACCCGATCTTCACTTTAACTTTAGGAAGTCGGTCACGCACCAGGCATCTCAAGTGCGAGTCTTGAGCTGTATCAATCCAGTGTTTGTGATTTCAGCTCCACACACCCCTTTCCTGCAGCTGCCTGGAGTGGGGTGGCGGGGCGTTCACGCCACATCACGCCTTGATGGCTGGCTGCCGTGGCTGTGGCAGATCGGCTGTGCCGTCCTCAGCACCCCCTCTTCAGGCACCCAGACAGTCACATGCCAGGACCTGGGATCTGCTCAGGGACCCCTGGGGGCTCCTTAGGGTAAAGCCTGGATGCCTGCTTCTTGTGGCTGGTGCACTTCACGTGGTCAGGTGTTTGTCTCTGCGTGGCCCCACCATAAAAGTTAACAGACTAGAGGTCTGCGTCACACACAGGAGCTGCATGTGATTGTATCATGGCCAAAACTGTTTGGGATCCGATTGTCAGAATCTCGCATCCGCTTTGACGCTGTTCTCAGACATTGCGAACAGCAGGAAAGCTCTCTCCTTTCCCTCAGAAATTCTCCGTCGGTGTGAAGGTCTGTGAATTCATCTTGGGTTTGTGGAGCCGTTCACAGCTCTGGTCACCCGGCCCGTGGAGGACGGGGACGTACCCCTTTCCCAGACCCAGGTGCTGAGTGTGGCCCGGCGAGTAACGGGCAGAATCCCTCTGATTTTCTCCCTCTATGAACTGACGGTTGGTAGTAACTCCCACAGAAGTGTGTATTTTGAAGCAGTGGATAAAACATTTACAAGGCATTTGGTTCAGTTCTCAAGAAATTATAAGGATGTTCATGATGGTGTGACCAACACAGGCTCGTCTCTCTGTCCCTGCCCGTGGCCACCTCACGCCCCAGACCCACAGGGTGAGGGCCCCGATGCAGGCGGCTGGCAGGTTTGGGCACCGAGCGGTGAGGGAATAGACCTGCTCAGTTCCAGCCATTTATTATCAGGAGCCTCAGATTTTTCTCTATTTCCAGGAAAGTCAGAAACTGGGTTTTTAATGCAATGTCTTGGTTTTTCTCAAGCAAAACTGATCTGTAGGTCAGATTCAACTTTACCTTGCAGTTTGGTGTCTCTCCCTAAAGTGATTGATTCCCACCAACTGGCTGCCGCGGTGCCCAGGGCGCCTCCACTCAGAAGGAGGGGATGGAGGTCGCTTAGCCCCGCCTCTGCTTCCAGAAGAGGAAACCTTAGCTCAGAGTGGCTCCTGGCAGACCCCGGGTGGGGTTCTGCGTTCCCGGCCCCAAACCTCTGCATCCTGCATAGACACGGGCGTTTTGTCTTCAGATCCCCTGTGCAGAAGCGTACCTGGTTTGTCTTTATAGGATCCACTGATGCAGTTTGCAGAGACCAGGAAGTGAGAAAATGTCAAACAAATAAGCAGTCTGAAAATTGAAAACAGAAAGTCAGGAATAGTGTTTCGAAGATTCTGATGTGATCTTGGATCCCAGGTGTGAGACGTCCCCAAGGACCGGGGCTGACATCCCTCTGGTGCCGTGTGGGCGCGGGCTCTGGACCCCCGCGGCACATTCCCCCGTGAGCTGGGCCGTCCTCCCGCCTTCTGCCCATCTCTGGTTGAGGCCAGATGAGGTGAGGCGGCCCCAGGACAGCAGGGGACGGAGGGCTTCGCGTGCTGGACAGGCCTGTGGTCCTGGGGGGCCTCCCGGCGCCTGGGGAGGACAGGCTGTCTACCAGGGGACCCCTGCCCGCGCTGTGTCTGAGTGACCGTCTCTGCCCATCTGCAGGGTCCCCAGAGCCATCCGGTGACCGCGGCAGCGGGACCCCCTCTCCTCTGTTCGACAGCGGTCTGCACCTGAACGGCCACCCCAACAGCACAGTAAGTGCGCTTCTCTTACCCTAACCCAGCAGGAATGTCTGTCCCGCGCGGCCCAGAATTACAGCATCGCGTGAGGTGACAGGTTCAGCAGGAAGGACGTGCGCAGGACGGAGGACGCCGATGCTTGCCGTCCACTCCCCGGCGGGAGGCCTCGGCGCCGGAAGTCGGATGCTGTGGCCATGGCCCATCCCAGTGGGCGGGCGGGCTCGGCTCCGAGGCGGGACTCAGCCCTGCTCCCATGGCCTGACCGGCCCCAGGGAGGACGCCCCGCGGGGTCACCTGTGCTGTGCGCGTGCAGGGCGTTTTCCTCCCGCTCCAGATCCCCTGTTCCCCCAAAACCGCAGCGGAGCAGAGCGGGGGGGGCTTGGGGGGGCCCCTGGCAGGGACCCAGACCCTGGGCAGTGGGCCTGCCTCAGCCTCCTTCCAGAGGGTGGAAACTCCACTGGCGTTAGAGCACGTGGATCAGAATCCCATGGTGGACTGAAAACGTGTTACTGGAAACCGACGCCCCTGCGCTCCTCAGAGGAGCAGCTGCGGGAGTGCAGGAGAGCCGAGGGAAAGGTAACATTCAGACAGTAACATTCTTAAAACATCGCTTTTCATTTTTACATTAAAGAAATGTTTGTTTATTTATTTTGAAAGAGAGACAGAGAAGGGAAGGGGCAGAGAGAGGGGGAGAGAGAGTCCCAAGCTGGCAGCACCAAGCCCATCCCGGGGCTCAAACCCATGAGCCCTGAGATAATGACCTGGGCTGAAATCAAGAGTCGGAGGCTTAACTGACTGACCCACCCAGGCGCCCCAATCTTCTTTAATATTTTTAAACAGGGCTTATTTTTTTCTTTTTTGATTGACTTCAGCAGAAGATTGTTCATTTGGCTGCTCTTTCCAACTTTTTGTTTCAGAGACCCGCATACTGCCAATTTCTACTCATTTTTGTTACCTCATCCTTTTGATTTTGTTTGCGTTTTTGTGCTTTCTTCTTTCTTACCATCCAGTCTGACAGGCTGTGCCCCATGGGAGTGTGTGGTGACTCCCGACGTGTGCTCGAGCTCCGATTTGATCACGGGCTTTGAATTTCTATTGGTTCCCCCTTTACTGTGTTCCTTTTCTTCTTGACTTTCAAATTATTCTGGTTAAATTTTTCATGTGTTTTCCTTCTAAAATTCTCCTCTGCCCGTTAGAAATGTTTATGCTCCGTTTACATTTACTTAGAGGTAACCCTTGAAATTTTGCCAAATGTATACTTTGTATACACGATAGGAAGACACAGCATCTTGAGCTTCTTCTGGAAGGTGCGAGGACCTTGTAACACCCGAGCTGAGCTCTCTCCGGATTGACCACCGGCTGCAGCTCTGTGTTTCAAGTCATGACGTTTCAGGGTGCTCTGCACGGAAAAGTATCCAGAGTTCTGTTCTCGCCATGACTTATGCCTCCAGCCTCCTTGTTTTAAAACGGTTATTTTCTCTACACTTGAACATATTTCCAGAGTCTGTGGTCACTACTGTTGATGCCGGGAAGTTTTCTCTCCACGTGGCTGCGGGTCCGCGCTCTTTTTCTGGGCAGCTTACAGACCTCTCTTTGGTCTTTGACGCCCGAGATTTCCAGATCTGAGCCGTCAGCCTTCATCTGCACACGTGGCACCTCTGTCCCCTGGGGTGGTGCTGACGGCGGCACTGTGCCCTGAACCCAACCCCACACCTGCGTGTGCAGGTGCACACGTGTGGGTGTGAGTGTGCTCATGTGGGCATGCATGTGTGTGTGGGTTCTCAGGTGTGCATGTGTGGGTTCACCTGTGTGTAAGTGTGTACGTGCTGGTGCACACATGTCGGTGTGTGTGCGCGCGCATGTGGGCGTGCGTTCTCAGGTGTGCATGTATGGGTGTGGGTTCACCTGCATGTGCGAGTGAGTGTGCGGGTGCACACGTGTGGGTGTACGTGGGCATGTGCGTGCGGGCATGTGGGTGTATGTGGGAGTGCATGGGTGTGCATGTGTGGGTGTGGGTTCACCTGTGTGTATGTGCGTGTGCACACGTGAGTGGGTGTACATGGTTGTGTGTGGGTGTGCATGTGTGGGTTCACCTGCGTGTGCATGTGAGTGTGCATGTGTGGGTGCACACATCTGGGTGTGCCTGGGTGTGCATGTGGGTGTGTGTTCTCGGGTGTGCATGTATGGGTGTGGGTTCACCTGTGTGAGTGTGTGGGTGTGGGTGCACACACGTGGGTGGGTGTACACTCCTATGGGGGTGCATGGGCATGTGTGTGTGTGGGTGTGCATGCATGTGCATGTGTGGATTCACCTGTGTGTGCTGGTGTGCACGTGTGGTTGCACACACGTGGGTGGATGTACACGGGCATGTGTGTGTGCGGCGTGTGGGTGTGTATGTGTGGGTTCACCTGTGTGTGCTGGTGTGCATGTGTGGTTGCACACACGTGGGTGGGTGTACACTCCTGTGGGTGTACGTGGGCATGTGTGTGCAGGCATGTGGGCATGCGTGGGTGTGCATGGGTGTGCATGTGGGTGTGTGTTCTCGGGTGTGTAGGTGTGGGTTCACCTGTGTATGCATGTGTGGGTGTGTGAGTGCTCATGTGGATATGTGTGTGTGTGCGCAGGCGGCCTAGACACTACCACGCCACGGAGACCAGCCCACAAGAAAAGTTTCAGAAGCCCCCACATCACAGTCACTACAGAGAAGCTGAAGGGAAAATGACACTATAGACAGAGCAGAGTCACCGAGTCTGTCGTTGAGATGAGCGTGAAGCCCGCCCTGTGTCAGCGTGATTACGGGGTTTAAAGTGAGGAAGACGAGAGCATCGAGTGTGAGCACTGTTGACAAGGGCCCCTGATGCTGCAGTCAAAATAATTCGTCACCAGACACGTTGCACACCCACCTGAAATTACAAACTGACAGTAGGTTAATTGCACGGTTATGGAAACATCTCTCCTTTATAAAAACCTCTCGGAGCCATGCCGCGAACTCGGAGGTGACATTTCAGTCTGGCTTTTCCACCTCTCGCCCCTCCTTGCTGAATCTCTGACGCTGAGAGAGCAGTGTCTCAAGGTTCTTCATTTTTAGAAGTTCAGATTTAAAATTCCACGCTGGTGTTTGGAGGGGAACCAAAGTGCAGGTGACAGCTTGCTTCATACCCACTGTTGGGTCTTCTGCGTAGGAAAAAGCAGTTTATTCAGAGGATCCTAGTTTTCTTTATCTTTCTCCCCATTGTTTTAGGAGCATATGTGATGTGTGTCTTGCTTGCCACAGAAAGAAGTGTTGATAAAAGTCTTCCATACATTTTGTTCTAGTCAATTTAACTTCTAAAAGCACTAATTTTATGGCACAAGGTCATAATATTCTGGTAAGGGAAGGAGTATTTTCAAAGCCTGTCTCTTTAGGGAGGTGCAAGGATGGCAGGAAGCAACCGGAGGGGACCCATCCGCGCCATCCCCTCCAGATGCACAGGTTTCATCCTGTGACCCCCTGGGGCCATGAATGTCACGTACATTTCACAGACTTAAAGTGTAGGGTAATTGGAACTTTTCCCAGAAACCTCTCTTTCTTAAATCACCTATAGGCTGTGAGGCCCCACAGCATTCCCACCGACCAAGTCACCCTGCTCCGCCCAGCTGTGGCCCCTCCCCAGGCACCACACGGGCCCGGCGTCACTACGTGCAGGACCAGGTCCCGCCCTGCCCCTTATGGCTGTTGCGTCACAGTCTGAGGTCAGATTAGAACATGCACACATACCTCCAGCAGGTTGGTCAAGGTAGAGATTCTAAACGTGTGACCCATAGGCACGTTGGTCTCCTGGGCAGCACACTTGTTTTTAATTGAATACTAAGTGGTGAATGTTCCGCCGCTTGCTAGCCTTTGAGTCTTTCCTAGGTTTAATAATTACCTTTATTCCTCAATATCAGAAAGAAACCCAAGTCCCATCACAGAGCTTCTCTAAGAATAACACTGGTCATCATGATCCGCCACGGGGAAGTGTATTCTGAAGAGCCACGTAAAATAAAGTTTGGATTTGGTGTCTGTTGGCTGTGGTCTATATAGCTGAAATTCTTCATGTATTTTATTTTTATTTATTTCTGGAAGAGAGAGAGAGAGCGTGAGCAGGGGAGGGTCAGAGAGAGGGGGAGACACAGAATCTGAAGCAAGCTCCAGGCTCTGAGCTGTCAGCACAGAGCCCGACGTGTGGCTCGAACCCACAAGCCGTGAGATCATGACCTGAGCTGAAGTCGGACACTCTACCAACTGAGCCACCCAGGTGCCCCTAACTGAAATTCTGCACACCGCCTTCTTGGGAACCTGCAGTGAATGACTGCTTCATAATCACTGGCTCGGTGTTAGGTCAGAAAATCCAATATCTAGAACTTCAGTAGTGCCGCCAAACACTTGCTGTCTGTTCTAGTGACTTCGTGGTTAATTTCATTGAAAGGAACGTGGAAGACAGCTGGCTGCTGTGGACTCTAACCTTGAGCCCCCGATGGGGGCCCCGAGCTGAATGCAGATGGCCCCTGAGCAGGCGAGAAGCATTCTGCTCTGGCATGAAAATGTTGAGAATCATTTTAATTATTTAATTGAAAATATTTCAAATTACAATGAATGTTTCCGTTTTAAAAATTACATTTAGATTATGGATTGAATGACACTTAATCAGCCTACAAACCTGGACGTTTTTAAAGACACGTCTCCCCAGTAACAGACAAAGTGCATGGGGCTCAGAGCCTCCTACGTGGCGGGCCTGCCACGCGCGAGTGCAGTTTTCTGATGCGTGTCAGAGCACGTGCAGCACCGGAGTAACGGAGATCGCACAGCCGTATCTAAGTACCTGTACAGCCTGAGTCTCAGAGGAGGGAACCCAGGAGTTTATCTTTTACAAACTCCCTTTCTGATTTACATGCACCGTGACCTTTTCAAGTCCTCACACGAGACACTGGGTGTGCGAAGTAAGAGAAAGCAGCTGTTGGCACAGCCCTGCCGTCCAGCACGGGCTCTGAGAAGA